AATAAATGTGTAAATTACTTGATTATCTCGGGTTGTACATAATCCTGAATTTTATATTCATTATCGGGAAATTAGTTAATTACCTAGGAAAACTGTCTATGGAAATATTTGTTTACAATGTATCAAAGATTATAATCATATCGCTTATTAGGCAGATAATTGTAATTAATTACACACATTGAAATCTGAACAGCTAGTATACCGTTACGACTATCTTGCCTTTTGTAAGATGACTGGTTCCTCAGTTGGAGTTACTATAAATACACATGTTTCATTTGTTAAAATTATACTTTTCTTCATTTAAATCAATTATTTATTTCAAACATTGACAAATATCAAATGAAATTTCTTATTGTACACCTACAAGTCTTCACACAATTTTACTTCCAATATAAGTATACCTACGCTTTCATGATGTATATTTAAAATAAAACAGATTTTATTTATTTTATCGAATATTCGAATACTTTCATTGAATATTCGAATATGAATTATTGACAAAATTGACATCCCTAGTACTAACGTCTGTTTCCTTTTTTGTTTGTGAAGGAAGTTTTGCGTTGTAGTACCCCTCCCCCCGAAAATGTTTGTTTGCACCCCCAACTGAAATTGCTTCCTACGGGCCTGCATACAGAATAATGTAAGATTTATTTGCCAATCATGGTCCCGCAGGGGACATAGCATAGATACAATAATATATGCATGATTTGTTAACGTACAAGTCAAAAAGGGGTATTAATATGGAGGATAGACTTGTTTATACTTTTAGATACTAGTATATGTAACTGTTCACAGTTTAATTAATTCAATGGAGTCAAGAGTCAACAATAATTCTGAAAATTTGTTAAAATATGGACTATTACAATATTCTGAAAAAAAGTTAACACTCCGGTACGTTATTATACTCGTCTACAAATTGCCCATTATTACAAATACATGTATATGACATTCTCTCAGCCATTTTTGGGAATTCCGCACCATTTCCCATGCGGTCTCAACTAGAAGACGATGCATATTGTCCTAAAATTTTATCATTTATTTAAATTACTTTAATTTTTTAGGTCGTGTATTTAGATATTTTTCAAATCCCAATTCTGTTTTGAGATAAAACGTCTGACCTTTAGACGAGTAGCGCATACATCACTTTGCCCTTTTTAGCTCACCTGAGCCGAAGGCTCAAGTGAACTTTTCTGATCGAAATTTGTCCGTTGTCTGTCATCGTTGTCGTCATTGTTAACTTTTCACATTTTCATCTTCTTCTCAAGAACCACTAGGCCAATTTCAACCAAACTTGCCACAAAGTATCCTTAGGTAAAGGGGATTCAAATGTGTTTAAATGAAGGGCCACACCTTCATCCACGGGGAGATAATTATGAATTCGTGAAAAATTGATGGCATCATTTAAAAAATCTTCTTCTCAAGAACCACTGTGCTTGAAAACATGAAACTTATATGGAAGCATCCTCAGGTACATGTAGTGTAGATTCAAATTTGTTCAAATCATGACCCCCGGGGTAAGGTGGGGCCACAATGGGCGATCAAAGTTTTACATATGAATATATAGGAAAAATCTTCTTCTCAAGAACAGCAAATCCATGATTGGTCATATTTATATAGAAGCATCCTACGGTAGTGTAGATTTAAGTTTGTTCAAATCATGACCCCGGGGGTAGGGAGGGGCAACAATGGGTGATCAAAGTTTTACATAGGAATATCATATACAGGAAAAATCTTCAAAAAATCTTCTTCTCAAGAACAGCAAAGCCATGATTGGTCATATTCATGTGAAAGCATCCTCCGGTAGTGTACATTCATATTTGTTCAAATCATGACCCCCAGGGGTAGGGTGGGGCCACAATGGGCGATCAAAGTTTCACAAAGGAATACATAGAAATTTTTTTTGAAAATCTTCTTCTCAAGAACAGCAAAGCCGTGATTGGTCATATTTAAATGGAAGCATCCTCAGGTAATGTAGATTCAAACTTGTTCAAATCATGATCCCCGGGCATAGGGTTGGGTCACAATGGGCAATCAAAGTTTTACATAGGAATATATAGGAAAAATCTTTAAAAATCTTCTTCTGAAGAACAGCAAAACCATGATTGGTCATATTTACAGTATATGGAAGCATCCTCAGATAGTGTAGATTCAAGTATGTTCAAATCATGACCCCCGGGGGTAGGGAGGGGCCACAATGGGTAATCAAAGTTTTATATAGGAATACATAGGAAAAATCTTTAAAAATCTTCTTCTCAAGAACAGCAAAGCCATGATTGGTCATATTTAATGGAAGCATCTTCAGGTAATGTAGATTCAAATTTGTTCAATTCAGGACCCCCCAGGAGAATAGAGGAGCCATAACAGGGGATCATAGTTATACAAAGGATATATCAATAAAAAATTTCTTCTTAAGAACAGCAAAGCCATTATCTGTCATATTAATTCAAAAGCATCCCTATGAAGTATAGATTCAACTTAGTTCAAATCACCCCTCCCCCACATCACTTTTATATTTAAACTTTTTAACCTTTCAAGACTGAACTGATTTCTGCTTTTTCCTAGCCATATTGCTCAGGTGAGCGATGTGGCCCCTGGGCCTCTTGTTAAGTACTCATCTTTCTTAGTGTTTACTTTGGTGCAAAGGTGCACGTATATGCAGAAGACACTGCAACCCAGAAGCCAAATTCCAAAGCTTCCCTTCTCAGTAATCCGAAATATTTTAATTGAATAATGACCATATGTTTTACTTTACAAAACGGATTTACTTGCATAAACATGGATATAAAACATCAATATGGATTACAGCAACAAGCTGTTTAAAATATTTTCTACACCAAATATGCAATTCTTTTAAATCAACAAAAGTTGAATCATTTAAGTAAAAATTAGTAATTTTACAAAAAATAATAAATGAATCATAAAAACAAATAAACACAAAAAACAAACAAATCCAAGCAAACAAAAATAAGAAAAAGAAATAAGCAAACAAAACAAAAAAGGTGTATAGTTGGAATCGGAAACACTGCTGAATTTTATGACTTAATCTGATCGTAAAAACCTAAAGCATGTGTCTTATAGCCCAGACGCGATACACCCCTCTTCATCGATACTATAATCCGTTGTAACGGTAGGCCCGCAAGATTCCGGGGGTGGAGATGGTCCCCCCTTAATTATGCAACTAGACACTTTTCTATATTTTTCAATATTTTTTTTCACGATATACCTATGGGGGAAAAGCTAATAGGCGGTTGTGCCCTCTCAAAAATGTTTTGTGACGATCCCCTCCCCCTTTCCCTTCTTTCGGGCCTAAAGGGGTATTTCGCTTAGGGCGTCTGGTCCCTGTAGAGTTATAGAAAAACTGTCACTAGACAGTTGGTATTCTATTTTTATACAGCTTTCGTCAATGTTTTTGTTGATACATATAATTTTATCCTGTGTAGAATGTTACATATTCGGGTGTATCCTTACCTGACATAATTACCTAGGTGTAGAGAGGGGCCGCAGGGGACGAAAGCGTAACATGCTGACGTCACACAGACAAAAAAAAAACAGTATAGTGTGGAATATTGCTCAAAAGGTAAGGTAGCAAAGGCTATTTCTTCAGAGTGAAAAAAATTTCTTCAAATTGGCATTTTTAACTATAATTACATTTAAATATGTATATTTTTAAGTAAAAAAATAATTAATCATAAAGCATGTTTAATATCTTTCGTATCATCTCAAAACAAATAATCAATGGTTTGAATACAAACTCACTATACATTTTATATACATGTATTTATAAAATCAATCTTTTAGATTAAAAAAAAAATGGATTCGAAAATTACCGGTAATTAAGACTTTAAGTTGATTTTTGAAGATCATTTCATTTAAACGCTAAAGAACATAAATTGTAGTAAGTTTATCATAAAAAGAAATTTTTTATAAATGTGTCATTACTGTTGCATACTAAGCTTCCTTCTAGCTCTTGATCACTTCCTTGTGTTGCGCAATCATGCACTGATCCACTGGGTAAAACGATTACGCTGCATAATAAAGACACATCATTCATAGTATTTTGTTTGACAAGCTGAGAAAAATAGAGCCAGGTAATAAGATTTGTTCTGCATTTATATGAAGCGTCTTAAACAATTCTTTTACAGGTTTTTGAGATGTCAAGTTCAATGAGCTTTCTGAAATCTGGATCTTTGATATTCAACCTACTGGTGTTTGTATGTTTTTTCTTCTTTCTCAACATTCAAACAAAAACGAAGAAATGTTGGATACAAATGTTACAATTTCATATTTTTAACCCCCTTTTTCCAAAACAAGGATTTAATCACATGTGGTGTAGTCAAGGGATTTTACAGTAAACCATTTGTAACCTTGTTTTTATTTTCAACGATTTATAAAACAAACATCATTGTAATCGCCGAATTTCAAAAACTTTAAATTGGAGAATTTTGTCAGTGAAGTATATATTATATTATTATCCCTTTTCCTGCAAAAAAATTCCCTTTTTCCCATTGAAATTGCGTTAAATACAAATTAATTTTTAAATATTTTCAAAGTAGCAATTTTTGTAAAGAAGGAGTGTTCGTGTATGATTTTTTTGAGCTGATAATCACGTGACTTCTTTCCTTCTCCTATTAATGGAACATATTTTGTACAGCTAGCGGGATCAGCCTGTGCCGCTCTAGGAGTGTATATTCTAGTATCAGACTATGGACCCAAAGAACTGTCTGGAGTCCTGGGGAATGAACTGTATCATATCGCGGCCTATGTCGCCATTGCAGGAGGAGCTTCTATCGCGGTCATCTCACTTTGTGGCTGTGTAGGTGCTGCTAAAGAAAGCAAGGTCATGCTAGCCAGTGTAAGTAAAAAAAGAAAACAGACAAAGAAATGTAATATTCCCCGAAAACACGTTTCTCAAAATCTCTACGAACCAGTTAAAGTGATAGTCATAGTTAACTTCTATAATATTTGGTAATCTCGGTTTTTTTCTTCAGTATTCCGTTCTGATGACGATAGTATTCATCGTATTATTAACAACTTCAGTGCTCGTCTTCCTGTTCCTTGGCCAGGTACGTGAAAGAGGGAGGGGCAGAGTAAATGGGAGAAAGAGGTATTAGAGAAGGGAAAGTGGGTTGGGAAAAGACTATCTTGTGTCTATTCCAACCTCAAGTAGAATAATTAAAACTGAAAATTTTCGAAGCATTTTTTTTATTTCAAGCTGAAATAATTTTTAAAAAACGAGGCAGTTTTTTTATAGTATGCAAGGACTTAAATTTGTATACATGTATTATATTTTGAGTATTTGTAATAAAACCCACTCCTCAGCTTTTCGATAAGTGTGCTAAAAAGTCTATATAAGACATACTTTCCTCTACCAAATTTAGAATTTGTTCCATTTAACTTTGTACATGACAGTTAATTGCTCTAAATCATCTCTCTATATTGTAGACGTTACATCAGACGAAGGAATCGATGAAGACTGTCTTGATAGAGAAGTACGGAGTGAACCAACAAGATCCAGAAAATCGTGTGGTGACGGAAATGTGGGATTTCCTACAGAAGCAGGTACACGATGTATATGTCAGACAATGTGATGATTACAGGAAAAGCGCACATGCAAAGTAGCACCAATGAACACCTAAGATTTATATGAAAGTAAGCCCAGGGTATCCTCCCTTCCCACCAAAACAAATATGTGTTTCCATAAAGTTTCAACTCAAGTGAGCTGAAAATGAGATTGGAAGCGATGATCTCCTACGGATTTTTACCTTTATTATGACACAGTTTACAGCGTACTATTTATTTACCAGTATATTTTATTATTATTTCAACAAAAACCAAAAACAAAATGAAGGGCAAATAACTTGTTTTGTAGCAACGGTCACAAAAACAATCCATGTAAACTTTAACAAGTTTTATATATCTCCAACATTTTAGTCTTATCCGGGAACGTTGACTTTCAATCTAGTAAATTTTTCGTATAAATTCATATTTCTAAGAACTGTGCAAATTATCAATTACTAACCTGCTAGATAATTCAGAATGTTAATCCTTCTAAAATATCATGTGACCGAATCTAACATTCTCTGCATTGATTTTCTATTTCGATGGACAGAGCAACTGTTTAAAAATTTAAATTCTAATTTTTGTCTAAAACATGATGTAACTGTTTGGTTTAAACAGCATTTCATTAAAGTTTAATACAGTTTCAAAAACGATATGAAAATAAGCAGCAGCACTACATGTAATAGCGCTCTCCTGGTAAAAGGGAAGGCGTAGTCCTGAATCGGTTTTCAAATTTGATGAACGATCTTTCTAGTTTACTACCGATACAAACACAAAGGAAATAATATTATACACATACACTTAAAAGTTGCTTAAAGATATAATTTATTATATGATTGAATGATTTTTAGCTGAAATCCAACATTTTAGAAACCATAAAAAGGCACAGTGTTAATTTCAACTGCAACTGCATTGACCACAAAACAGCTATATAAATAAATGTTCCTACTTCCTACAAAATTCAAAGAAGAATGGTTGTGAGCCCAGATGAATAAGTCAAAGATAAGAGGTTCACAGAGACTAATTTTGATTATTCTTGGTTTATTCTTTATTCGACTTTTGCATATAAAATCATCATTTGGTTTGTTCACTCTCTCAGACAGTACTATTTTGTACAGGAGAGGTCTTTTCTAGTGACTTTTAGTTGTACAGTGTTAATAACAGACTTTCTCTCTGATAATGTCTTTAATTCTGGTCTTTTGTGCAGTTGAAGTGTTACGGTATTTCTGTGATTGTCTTTAATTCTGGTCTTTTGTGCAGTTGAAGTGTTGCGGTATTTCTGATATTTTCTATAATTTTAGTCTTTTGTGCAGTTGAAGTGTTGCGGTATTTCTGTGATTGTCCTTAATTCTGATCTTTTAGTGCAGTTGAAGTGTTGCGGTATTTCTGATATTGTCTTTAATTCTGGTCCCTTTGTGCAGTTGAATTGTTGCGGTATTTCTGTGATTGTCTTTAATTCTGGTCTTTTGTGCAGTTGAAGTGTTGCGGTATTTCTGTGATTGTCTTTAATTCTGGTATTTTTGTGCAGTTGAAGTGTTGCGGTATCTTTGATATTGTCTTTAATTCTGATCTTTTAGTGCAGTTTAAGTGTTGTGAAATTTCTGTGATTGTCTATAATTCTGGTCTTTTGTGCAGTTGAAGTGTTGCGGTATTTCTGATATTGTCTTTAATTCTGGTCCCTTTGTGCAGTTGAATCGTTGCGGTATTTCTGTGATTGTCTTTAATTCTGGTCTTTTGTGCAGTTTAAGTGTTGTGGTATTTCTGTGATTGTCTTTAATTCTGGTCTTTTGTGCAGTTGAATTGTTGCGGTATTTCTGTGATTGTCTTTAATTCTGGTCTTTTGTGCAGTTGAAGTGTTGCGGTATTTCTGATATTGTCTTTAATTCTGGTCTTTTGTGAAGTTGAAGTGTTGCGTTATCTCTGATATTGTGTTTAATTCTG